TTCTGCTCTGCGACTCGCCACCACTCTGAGGCACTTTATCCCTACTGAACAGAGGAGGAAAATCAGTCCAGTGGACTCAGTAAGTGGCTTCACTCACCAAGGTTACACGGGCTGTCTGAGGTGGAGCTGGAGCTGGGGCGTGGCCTCCTGAGCAGTGGGGAATGCTGGCTGGGGTGGGGGGCTGAGTTCTAGTTCTGAAATTGCCCCTCTGTGTGACTCTGGACTAGGCCCTCTGTAGGCTTCTGTGTTGCCCTTTGTACCCTGGGGGGTGGGCTGAGAGACGGCCACCTTCAGAGCAGCTCTGACAGCTCTGGCAAAATTGCTCCGGTGCCTTCTTCCTGCCGGCAAGGATACGTGGGCCACCCTGAGTGAAAGGAGCCTGGTATCCAGGTCCTGGGGTGCTGGTCCCAGTGCAGGTTGGGGGAAATGGTATCCCCTCCCACTGATCCACTCTATTGGGGCACCATTGGCTTTCAGGGGGCTCATCCCAGGGCCCTGGATGAGATCTGCGGGGGGGGGGGGCGCGGGCCAGAGCACATGGGGAGGGCTGATGGAATTTGGGGGATGAAGCTGCCATGGAAAAGTGGGTGGGGATGGTGCCAGGGCTTTGGCAGAGGCAGGGTGCCCAGAAGGCAGTGGAGATAAAGCCTAGGCTGCAGATTAGCTTCAGGATTAACCCAGTCTCTGCTGCTCCTGCTTCTTATCTTCTGGAGGCCCCAGGCCCTTTCCCCCCACAGCTCCCAGCCCTGGCCCAGCTAATTGCCTGTTAACCCGGTGGGCTCCCTGACTGCAGGGAGGGTGAGGGGGTGGGGAAGGGTGAGGAAGAATGCAGGCCAGCCAGCCAAGGAAGCTTGCCTGGGAAATGGGAGCTGAGGATAGATGGACTCAAGGGACTGAGAGAAGCCACTGCTCACAGGGACAAGCTCTGGACAGATCTCTCCAAACTCCTGATCATCCCCTGGGGAAGGCTGGAGGAGGGGCCAGAGGGACTGAAGGAAAGAGCACCTGGGGACGGGTCCTGGCTTGGAGGAAGCCTTCAGGCCCAGGGACACGTCTCAGAGTGAGACAGAGGCTGCACAGCTAGGCTAAGGGAAAGACAGAGAGGAAAGCAAGCACCACAGGGATGTGGAAGACGAAGGACCAGAGAGACTAGGGGGTGGCCAGACCAATGGGAAAGAAAGACAGGGGCAGGGGGAGGGGGCAGGCAGACTGAGGGCAAGGGACAGAGGCACAGGCCAGATGAATAATTGATCAGATGCTGAGGACAGATAGGCCAGGAGGATGTACCGGGAGTTGAGAGACAGAGATTGAGAGGGGCCGGGGGAAGACAGACCCACGGCCAGGGCCAGCCAACACTGAAAGGGGAGGTGGTCAGAGAGGGACAGGGGAGGACTGGCCCCAAGGTGGTGTGGCGGTCTGAGTGTCAGTATGCAGTGCAGACATTCCCAGTTGGAAGTTGTCCAACCCAGGCCAGAAAGGCACTGGAAGGCCAAACACTCAGCATGGCCCTGGGAGCTAAGCAGAGAGCCAGGGATGACAGGAAACTGGTGGGGTGGGTGGAAACACAGGAGGAGGTAGGGTCTGAAATGGGGGCCTGGGGCCTGGGGGCTGGTGCAGGGTCATCTGGAACAGCTCCTCAGCCTGTGAGGTCCTTGCTTGGGACCTGCCACTTTCCACTGCTGGGCCCTGGATTCTTAAGTCCTATACACACACCCTCCTTCCAGGCCAGTCCCTGGGGACAGAGCAGTGGACAGCCTGTGGGACCTTGTGGCGGAACGACCGTGCCGTCTCCATGGAAGAGGCTGCAGGCTGTGCTGCCACCAGAGTTCTGCCACTTAGGAGCTGGCGGCTCCACCTGCCACCACCTGCCTGGCCCAAGGACCGTCTCCGGGGCAACGCTCTGCTCTGCCCAGCAGTTGTGCCTGACCCGGGCGGTGCTGGTGGCCTGGCCCTGTCAGTCTGGCCTGTCCATTCCCTGCAGAATGGATCTGTCAGACCAGCGTGCCTCTACCTACCTCCTCATCATCTCCCCTCTGCACAACCCCTAGAGAGTTGGGGTACCAGTAACCAACCCCTCTCCAAAGCCATTGTACCCGTCATTGTCACTGTACCTGTCATTGTCACTGTACCCTGCCACTGCCCTACAATGGCCAGGCTCAGTGTCATGCAGTGTGTGTGGGCATGCATGTATGTTTAGGGGGGATCAGACAGAGAGGCTCCCCCAGCCCCACCCAGGTCAGGAACCTCTGTGAGTCCTCCATTCACTAAGCACCCACCAGATGTGCTTTGGCACCTGGCAGAATTCTGTTTGAGTCCCTGAGGTCACTGACTAGCTGTGTGACTATAGCCAAGTCACTTTCCCTCTCTGAGCTTCCTCATCATTAAGCAGGGCAACAGCATTCATTTTCTGAGACGTTTAAAGGAGCACACTGTTCAAAAGGTACAAGTGGGCCGTGTTAGATAGTTTTTACATCATACTCCTTCCCTTTATCTCACATTTCCTTCTACAAATTGCAGTGGGCTCTGAGGATACCCAAATGATTAAGTGGGGCCCCCACTTTCAGGGGCCCATGGTTCCTCTGGTGATGGCTGACCTGTGCCCAGTGCGCGGACTCTGCTGAGGCGCAGGGTGGCGGGAAGCCCAACTCAGCGCTCACCACCAGGCAGCCCAGGCCTTGTTTAACCTCTCAAGTGGCGCGTAAGCGCAAAACTGGCTGCGTCAGCAAGAGCTGATTCCAGCATCTTCTTGGGCTAAAATAGGAAGAGAGTGGGTGCTTTGAGATTTTAGGCAAATACTTACGTGTTCCCCTGTCTGCCTTCCCCACTCCACCAGGGACCTAGCCACCTCTTGTCAAGCCCTCCAGGGCTCCTTCCTTGCAGGGAGCGACATGGTGGAATCTCCACGGCTCTGGCTCCATCATGTACTACCTCACTCCCAGTGTGGGCTGGGGTCAGCATCTTGTTAGAAATGCAGAATCTCAGGCCTCACTGCCCCAATCTACTCAGGTGGAACCTGCATTTTAACCAGACCCCCGTGAGCACAGCCCGGGTGAGCTGGAACGTCAGCACACCTCTCTGAGCCTCAGTTTCCTCTCTGCAGGAAGGAAGGGTGGTTGTGAGGAGTCCATTGGGAATCGTGCTGGGTGCTGTGCCCAGGGCAGGGCTCTGGGGCTGTCCACCGCTGGACACACAGCAAGAAGTGGGAGCTGGGGTGATGGACAGGGTCAAAGATGGGAACCCTGAAGCTGTTACGGGTGCGAAAGGGAGGGTACAGCTGAGGAATTGAGAAGCGGGAGATGCAGAGAAGAAAGTGAGGACGGTGTAGAGTTGTGAAGTGGCATCAGGGAAAACTGGGAGGGCCACACCCCCTCTGGGATGGGCAGTGGACAGAGGGGCTGGGCGTTAGGGGAAAGCCTTGAGTGGCACTCAGATGAGTTCCATCTCTCCCCCTGCGCTCTGGACCTTTGAGGAGTCGCATGGCCTCTCTGAGCTGTGACTTCTCGTGGATTGCGATCACTGGGCTAAGGAGACAGGGTTGATCACAGGGTGGCTGTGAGGGAGGCGCCTGCTGGTGTTTGTGTCCTGCAGCCTGCTGGTTATGCGCAGGGATTTGCTGTAGGTAGCTGGTTGTACTGGGGTGATAGAAGAAACTATTGGACCGGCTGGAAGGTTTCCCTCTGGCCCACACTAAGGGTGCCCCAAGCCCCCAGTTTTCCGAACTCCTCACTCCCATTGCCTTCCACGCAGCCGGTCTGCCTCTTCACCCTCCCTCAGCAGTAAGGCGTTTAGGGTGGCTTTTCTCTTCCACGCTGCCTCAAGCCTTTTCTCCCAGCTTTCACCAGTGTGCAATCTTTCCCAAGGAGAGGGGAGGGGAGCGCGCCAGAGTGATTGAGTGCGCCGACCCTTTGCCCCTTGGGAAGGTGCTGCCTGTGATGGGTTTGACCCGGGGGCTGGTCTCCGTGGGGTGAGCCTGGCCGGGGGAACTTGCAACTGCTTCCCCCTCAACCTCCTCCCCAAGCCGGCGGCTGCGCTGCTCCCCACCGGCTAAAGCCCGCTGGAGCCTGAGCTGAGCTTCCATCTCCCGGGCGCCGGCGCCATCTGCTGACCGCGACGGAGAACAGGCCGCAGAGGCCGGGCCCGGCGGGCTCCGTCCCGCAGGAACTGCGTGTCAAAGCGTTCCTGGTGTGCGGGCGCCGGGCTGGGCGCTCCGGACACTCTACGGGCTTATTGCTCCAGTGCAGAGCAGACTCTGGTGCGGGTAGAGATCGGCACTGAACAAGAGACAAGATCATCTCAGGTCTTGCTCAGTACTGTGAGAAACAAACACGCTGAGGGGTGGAGGGTGACACGGTGTTGGGACGCGGGGAGGCGTTCCTAAGCTTGACTTTGTCACACTGGGCCCAGTGCGGGAGAGGGAGGCGAGGGTCACTTCTCACGCAGGCTTGCAGGCTAGGAGAGGGCCACGGGAACCCTGGCAAAGGATTTGCAGGAAGCGGTGCCCCTTAGAAGGAGAACCTTCACTCTGACCGGCCAGGACGGAGACCAGTCAGGAACTCCTTACCGGCCAGGGGGAGATGATAGCTGAGGGGCGGGAAAGTGGGGAGACTTAAAATAGACCTGAGAAGTGGAATTGCGCCAGGAGGTGCTGGATTGTATGTGGGGCTGAGGGAGAGAGAGATTTCAAGGTTTCCCACTTGAGAAAGCTGGTAGACCGGAGGGCGCTTTCTTCAAAGGAGGGGAGTGGGAGCAGGATCAAACTGGGGGAGACGTCAAGAGTTTGGCTGTTGGTGTTAAGCTGGGGGTACCTCTTAATCATTCGAGGGAGGATGTGAGCCGAGTAGATGGGCTTTCAGCGGAGAGGCTGGGAGAGAGATTGGCTTCTGGATTGGGGACAAGGGTTTCCAGGCAGGCGTGGTGGCAATCGGGGGACAGGGGACCCTAAGCCTAAGGAGTTGTCTTATCCCCCCTTCCGTCTCCCCTCCTCCTCTCTCACCCCCCAGGTCTATACTCGGTATGGGAAGTGTTATACCTTCAATGCGGACCCACAGAGCTCACTGCCCAGCCGGGCGGGGGGCATGGGCAGTGGCCTAGAGATCATGCTGGACATCCAGCAGGAGGAGTATCTACCCATCTGGAGAGAGACAAGTATGCCGGCAGGGAAGGGACAGAGCAAGGTGGGGCTCAGGCCTGGGCGCCCCGCCCAGGGCTGCTTTCCAGCGGCCTTGTCTCCACCGTGCAGATGAGACGTCTTTTGAGGCCGGCATCCGGGTGCAGATCCACAGCCAGGAGGAGCCACCCTACATCCACCAGCTGGGCTTTGGCGTGTCCCCGGGCTTCCAGACCTTCGTGTCCTGCCAGGAACAGCGGGTGAGCACCTCCAGCTGGGTCCTGGGTTGGGCGTGGGTCTGGCGTCCGGGCCCTTGAGGGGATACTGAGCAGCCCGCCCTCCAGAAACTCACAGCCCGCCAGCCCGCCCGTGGACTTGGCCGGGGCAGTGGGCGCTGGAGGGCCCTGTGGGACTCCTGGGCATGACCCCACCGTGCCCGCCTCTGCAGCTGACCTACCTGCCCCAGCCCTGGGGCAACTGCCGGGCAGAGAGCGGGCTCAGGGAGCCTGAGCTTCAGGGCTACTCGGCCTACAGTGTGTCTGCCTGCCGGCTGCGCTGTGAAAAGGAGGCCGTGCTTCAGCGCTGCCACTGCCGGATGGTGCACATGCCAGGTGGGCACCCCCTCACCAGCCCTCCGCACTGCCCTGCCAGGCTCCAGAACCTCCAGGGGCCGAGCGCTGCTCACGCGCACCGGCAGATGCACGTGTCCGACTAAGTGCGCGTGTGCCTCCACCTGTGTGAGTGTGTGGTTTTGCGAGTGTTTTCACCTGTGTGTACGGGCATGCACGCACGTGCGTTTGGGTGCCCGTTGTCTGTACTCACGCGCCATGTGTCTGCGTATTTTGCTGCTTGTGGACTTTTGGGAGTCGTGTATGGGCTTGGACACGTGCACACAAATGTCTCCACATGTGCACGCACGCATGTATGCATGCTTGAGCGCGCACAGGACATCCCCACGCTTATATGCACGAGTGCTGTAAGCTCGTGTGTGCACACACACGTCGGTGTAGACATGTGTACATGCAAGTGTCTGTCGCCTTTGGGAATCGACAGGGGCAAGGGGCCGGGACTGCAGGCTCCAGGAATAATCTTCTCTCCTTTCAGGCAATGAGACCATCTGCCCGCCAAATATCTACATCGAGTGTGCTGACCACACGCTGGGTCCGTGCCGCCTTCTCTCTGCCCTCACTATCACCCTTTCCCTCGTGTCTGTCCCCCTTCTCCCGCTGCCTTGGCTCCCTTCCTCCCAGTGCTCCTCGGGGAGGGGTGTCCTTCCTGGTGTTTGGGCCTCAGCCCATGCCCCAGGGGCCCGAGGGCCTTTGCAGTGTGGACACTTGGGTAAGTGGAGGCAGCTGGGTCGGGGGCGGGGGGCTGCAGAGAACCCAGATCCGAGAGGGGAAGTTTAGTCTTCCAGTTTTGACTCAGCTAATGAGCTCGCCCTATCTGGGAAAGTAAGATGACCTCTCTTGGTGAAGGAAAACTAGGTGGCTGGCCATCGGTGTGGGTAAGGTAAACCCCAGGTATCCAGAGGTCTTGCCTGAGCTGCCATTTATTTATCCATTCGTTCGTTCTATAGATACAGCCCGCGCTAACGCTGGAGCTGTGCTGGAGTCCCTCAGCTCCGGGCATTATGTCCTGCTTGGCTAGTCTGGGGCTGGGGAGCGCAGGGCTGCCAGGCCTGGTGCCAGGCAGGGAGCAACATGCTGCCCCGCTGCCCCCTGCAGAGGGTTCCTGGAGGGAGGGACATAGTAACGGACACTTGAAGGATAGAGAAGAGTCACCAGGTGAGACGGGGACAGGTTAGTGGTGGGGGCAGTGCGTGCTGGAGACCTGTGTGGTCAGCAGGAGCTGTGTGTCTGGGCACTAAGGGCGGAGAACAGAGGGGGTGTGGAGAGGAGGAGGCACTGGGAGGCTGAGGATGCTTTAAGGCGGGGCCAGAATGGTTTTGGGAAGGGGACTCTCAGCAGAGATGGAGAATGGATAGCGGGGAGTTCACCTGGAGCCAGCGTGACCGGTCGGGAGAGTGTGGCTAGCAGCTCGGGACAGTGATGGCTTGAGATTCTGGGGCAGTAGAATCACATCAGGAACTTCTCTGTCCAAACACCAGCTGTACCACGGGGGTGATGGGGGCTTCACGAAGGAACGGAAGTGTGAGCAAGCAGGGCTCAGGGAAACACAGGGACAGGAAGACTCCTGTGAACAGCAACACCGGGGAGCCTTTACACCCCAGTCCAAAGGGGTGAGGAAGGAAGGGCTACTGGGACCCAGAGAGACCTGTGGTGTCCATGAAGGCAGTCAGAGGGGCTGCCAACTTCTGGTGTGGCAGTGACGAATCCAGGGGAGAAACGTCCTAGCCCAACCCGGAGGCAGCAGGCGAAGGAGTCTTGGCAGAGCTCGGCCATCTGAGCTGAGCGCGGAGCAGAGTGGAGGGAGGAGAGGAGATGCAAAGGAGTGAACAAAGAAAACTCAGCCTACTGAGTACACAAATCTTGTGCTTTTCCATCCACATATCCAGCCAGCCAGGCTCCCCAGCCCCCTCCCCCCCCCACTGTCGGCTCCTCTGAGCTGTGAGGACGCCTGGGAACCGCCCAGGGAGCAGGGATAAGCCAGCGGGAGGGGCCTGGGGTCTGCCTACAAGATTTCTCATATAATCTGAAACTGACCTAGGAAAGGACCCCAGCCAGTCTCGTCCAGACAGGGCCACACCTGACCAGTAAAGGCCCTCGGTGTGGACATGTCTGCCCCAGGACAGCCCCTGGGCCTCGCCGCTGCAGCCAGTGGGCCTAGACCACCCTGCCTCCCGCTGCAGTTGATGCCTCTGTGTTGCAGACTCCCTGGGTGGGGGCTCCGAGGGCCCGTGTTTCTGCCCTACCCCCTGCAACCTGACTCGCTATGGGAAAGAAATCTCCATGGTCAGAATCCCCAACAGGGGCTCAGCCCGGTACCTGGCAAAGAAGTACAACCGCAATGAGACCTATATACGGTATGTGCGTGTGCGCACGTGCGCGTGCGTGTGCGTGTGCGTGTGCTGGAAGCCACCCTCAACAGGTCTGATGATGCTGGAGGCTGGGAGCAGGTGCATCTTTGTTAATAATGAGTTTCCTCCCAGCAATGCCTTCCCTGAGCCTTTTCTTCCCCCTGACCCCTACCCATCTTCCAAGTCACATCCACACCAGCTCCTGGGAAGCCCTTCTCGGCGCAAACACCTCTTATCTGAGTCCGGCAGTGTCCGTGTACATGTCTCTGCTATTGTGCTGCCCACTGCTCTAGGGCCCTGTCTTTGTTCCCCAGTAACCTGGGAGCAGTTACCTCCATGTCGAGCGAATGCTGTGCTGGGAGAGAGGGATGCGGAGGGACGAGAGAGGAAGAAGGTGGCCCGCAGGTGGAGGCCGGAAGGGCAGTGGCAAGCTGTGGGCCGGGTTTGGGGCAGCCTCCGGGAGCTAAGCCCAGCTGGTCCTGGGGACAGAGAAGTGGCCAGGGTGCCGGCCACACTTGTGCCTGGGCCTGCGTTCGATGGCGTGGCCCTAGGTCTCAGGCCCCAGGAGAGTTGTGTGGGTGGGATAGGCAAAGCAGGTGTGATGTGAACTGGACCTCTGAAGACCGCAGGTTTGGATCCATGACAGGCGCCATCCCGGTTAGAGATCCCAGATTGTGCAGAGAGAAGCAGACAGCAACTTAGACAAGAAGGCACAGTGCGACCAATTGTGGTTAGTCTTGAAAATCTGGAAGAGGAATTTTGGTATGGACTATAGGGCAATAGGGAGCCCCTGAAAGTTCTAGAGAGGTATAGGGGTGAGGCAAAGTGATCATTCCTTACTGCTTTAGAAAAGGCTGCAGAGATTCCTAGAGGCCCAGGAGTATATTTTGCTCTCCCAGGCCTTTTGTTAACCCTCAAACATGAAGCCAACACACATCAAGTCTGCCTCCCCTCAGCTCGGGAGTCTGAGAGGGGCTCCAGCTTCCTGTTACAGGGAGTCCCAGACCAGGATCCAAGGGGCTGGGATGTCCCTGACAGACTCTCCCATGGAAGTGTCCCCACACCATAGCCTGCTTCCCCTCTCTGCAGGGAGAATTTCCTGGTCCTGGATGTGTTTTTTGAAGCCCTGACCTCTGAGGCCATGGAGCAGCGAGCAGCCTATGGCCTTTCAGCCCTGCTGGGTGAGACCTGGCCCTGGCCAACTCCATGGGTTGGACCCCTTCAGCCTGCCCCCCATGACCCACTGTCATGCTCCCTAGGAGACCTCGGAGGACAGATGGGCCTGTTCATCGGGGCCAGCATCCTCACGCTGCTGGAGATCCTGGACTACCTCTATGAGGCAAGAGAGGGGCCTGGGGGGCCCCTCACACAGGAACTAGAGGGCGGAGGAGGGGCATGGGAAAAGCAGAGGAGCTGTGCAGGCTTCTGGGCTGGGAGGGCAAGCTTGGGGCTCTTTACTGGCATCGCTGACTGGCTGGAAGAGCCGAGGGGCTCCGAGGAGTTGGGAGGTGAGGCTTGGTCTCATGAGGTGGGCAGGAACTGGGGGATGAGGGCGTCTGGTGAGGATGTGCTGGGGCGGTAAGCCCTCCAAGGCAGACCGGGTAGGGTTTGCTCTTCTCCTTTACCAAGTTGTCTGACCCCTCTGCTGTCCCTTACCCTGAACCCCCAGGTGTCCTGGGACCGACTGAAGAGGGTGTGGCGCCGTCCCAAGACCCCCCTTCGTACCTCCACTGGGGGCATCTCCACTTTGGGGCTGCAAGAGCTCAAGGAGCAGGTGAGACCAAGTTCGATGGCCAGCACCCCTCCCAGGACTGAATTCCCCCCTCACTCCTGTACCAGCCTGCTGGAGGGGTCCCTGCGTTCCGATAAGCCTCTGCTCCAGGGGGCAGGAAAGCCTGGCTGTGCAACCTTGAGGCACTGCTTGGTCTCCCTATGTCCCATTCTCTCTTCATCTTGCAGAGTCCTTGCCCAAGCCGGGGCCATGCTGAAGGTGGGGGGGCCAGTAGCCTGCTCCCCAACCACCATCACCCACGCGGTCCCCCAGGAAGCCTCTTTGAAGACTTCGCTTGCTAGAATGGTGCTGTGTCTGAAAGGACCCAGGAGTTGGGGACCCCTCCCTGCATCCCCTTCTGCTGCTGGGACAGAGGCCTAGGGGTGGCCACTGGGAGAGGGTGGTGCTTACTGGCAGGGTGGGGATTCATTTCCTGTTCTTGCCAACCTTGGTGCCAGCTGCTTTGCACAGGGGTCCTTTTTGCTCACACCTCCTGCCCTCAGGTTGGTGCCCAGGGAGGGCTGGAGACCAGGCCATGGGCTCCAGGGGAGGAGTGGGAGGAAAGGAAGTGAAAGGGCCCCCACAGCAGGGGTGGAAACTTCTGTACATTTGTATATATTTAGGGGGGGCCGGGAGGGGGTAGGGATACAGATGTAGAAGGTGGGTGGGGTAGGGGCATGGGTGGTTCAAGGACAGCCAGAATCCTGGCCCTCCGATGCCAGCCAGAGAGGGTGAGTCCCCAGGGCTTGGGACTGCTGGACTGGTCCTGCTCGCCACCCCTCTCCAGGCCCAGCTCTGCTTTCGGCAGGGGAGTGGGTGGCCCAGCAGGCCTGGCCCAGCTCCCAGTTTCCCCTGCACGGGCCCACCCCAGAGTCCTCTCCATAGGTACTTTCAGACCTTGGCTGAGCTGGGGAATGGGGAAAGGAGCCTTCTCAGGTCTCTCTCCCTCTACTCTGATTTTATAAAATGCTGACAAAATTGGGAATAAAGAGACATAAAGAATTCTCTGTGTATGTGTGACCAAGCATGTCCTGGGAGCCGGGGTGGGGCTAGGCACAGCCATGACTTGGTCTCTGGGAAGAGGAACAAGAGGCCTCCACCCTCCCCAGCCTTCCCTGCCCACATGCCTTCCTCCTCCAAACCCAGAATCACTAGGCCACACTCAGCCAGTTTATTGAGGGCAGGCAGCTTCATCAGGGGTCCTGAGGGAAGACGACCCACCCTCTCCTCCCTGCTTCCGCCTTCCTCACGGTAAGGTACATCTACAACCCAGCCCCAGGGCCTGACCCTGGGAGGCCCGGCTGGCGTTAGGCAGACTGCACTGCATAAATACTCTGAGGCCACAGCCTGAATAGGCAGCGTCGAGGGTGCAGGGAGGTGGGGTCGCGTCAGGAATGGGGGGCCTCTATTCCTCAGGGCTGGTCCTGAGCCCGAGGCCCACCGCAAAACCAGAGACCGGCCCTGTGGTGGCCCTGGGGTCCCCGGCGGAAGCCAGCCCTGTCCGGCGAGGCTGGGAAGTGGTTCTGGGTCATTGCAGGAGGAGTGGGGGTAGCGTGTCGCCGGGCGGCACAGGCCAGGATCAGGTGCTGTTGCCCTGCTCCTGCTCGAAGAGCAGCATGGCCAGCTGGGTGCGGGAGCCCAGGCCCTCGAGCGCACCCTGGCGGCAGCGGTGGTAAAGGTCCTCGCTGAGGCGCGCGCTGCACGTCTGCGTGCGGTAGCGCTGCAGCAGTGCCGGCTCCACCGCTCGCAGCACGTGCAGGCCTGAGAAGCGCAAGAAGAGCTCGTACACATCCAGGCTCTCCAGCAGCTCCTCCTCCTGCTCTGCGGCTGCCGCCAGCCGCCCTCGAGCTGCCACGTAGTCGGAGTTGTAGAAGCAGGCCTCGCTGGCGGCCTGGCGATCAAAGCGGCCAGTGTCCCGGCCCAGCTCCGGCGGCCCGGGGCCCTGGGGTGGCGCGACCGCCGGGTGGAAGGCCTGGAAGTGCATGGGAAAGAAGGCCTGCCAGCCAGAGATGGCGTGCATGCGACAGCGGTTCAGGAAGTCGGGCGTGAGCACAGTGTCCGGCCCGGCCAGCAGGAACAGTGTGTCCAGGGGGTGCTTCTTGGACAGCAAATCCATGAGGCGCAGTGGTGAGGGCGCGGCTGTCTGCACGCTGAGCCAGGGGACCCGGGCCCCAGGGAAGCGCCGCTCCAGCTCTGCCACGTGGGCCTTGACAGGGGCGAAGACGTCAGCGTGGGCCGCCCGCTGAGCCTGTCGCGGCTCATACAGTAGCAGCAGGGTCAGGGCCACTGCGGCATCACCAGGTTCTAGTGCTGCAGTCGCGAAGGCTTCCAGGAAGCCTGGGGCCAGGTCACGCTCGGCAGCAGCCAGAGGCAGTAACACAGTGAGCCGTGAGGCCTCAGTGACGTAGGGCACGGGCAAGATCTCCACCCGGCTCAGAGGTCGCAGCAGCTGCACCCGCCGGGTGAGGGGCCGGCGGCCGCCCTGCGGGGTGAGCGCCTCCAGCTGCAAGTCCAGTGTGTACTCCATACCCCGGGCGGGATCAAAGCGTCGGTAGCCATTAACCAGCTGCTGCTTTTGGAGCCGCAGGGCTGGGTGATAGCGGCGGTTGAGCTCCTCCACGGCTGCCCCCAGAACGTCAGCCACATCAGCCTGGTCAGCCCCACGCAGCGGGCAGCGGGGTGAGCCATCAGCACAAGAGAAAGCATGCTGCTCCGTGAAGTAGTCCCAGCGCAGCACCTCAAAGCGGGAGGCTGGGCGGGATGGTGCTGGAATGCCCACGGGCCAGGCAGCTGCCAGTTCCCCATCCGCTGCCAGTCGGCTAGTGTTCTGGATCTCCCACTGTGTTGGGGAAACAGGGCATGAGCCAGGCATAGACCACGGGTCAGTACACAGCGGGGGGCCAGCAGGCAGCAGGAGCCCTCAGGATGGGTTCTCAGGCCTCGGCCAACATCTACCCACCCAGGGCCTCTTTTCCCCAGATGGGGGAAGCCTAAGGGTTAAAAGGTGGGGAGGGGCGGTTCAGAGGGGGCTCCTCAGAAAAGGTAGAAACAGGAGAGGCGAAGCAGGTTTGTTCTATGACTAGCACGGATGTTTGTTTCCTTGGAAGCTCTGAGACCACTCAAAACCTGTGCTCCCCATCTCCCAGCCCTGACCATACCTGCAATTCCTGGATCTCCTGGTACGTGCGTTCCAGCTCAGCTCGGGCGAAAGCTTTGTGCAGCTGGTACATGTGCACAGGGTCATTCACAGGGTGGGCTGTCAGGGCACTGCGGAAACGAGGGTCCCCCTCTTGCACAGGGTCCCCTGGACTCAGCTCCAGATAGTTGTAGTGTAACCCCTGGGGGAGGAATAGAAGGGTCCATACTGGGAAGAATGATGAGACGGTCTCCTTGCCTCGCCTTACAGTGAGTCTGCCCTCTCCATCCACTGGCCTGTCGTAGACTTGGGAGTCAGAATTCTGAGTGTTTATGTCTAGCTCGACTATTTGTAAGCCTGTGGGACCTTCGGCAAGCCTCTGCCAGGTCTTCTGTGACATGGGCTTGAATCCTGACTCAGAGCTGTCCAGGGACTCAAATAAAACCATAGTCAGGAGTGATCTCCTACTATGTGCAAGCCTCCCTTATTGTTTTTCTAATCTGCATAACCCCCTGAGCAATAATTATTTCCACTGAGTGTGGTCACAGATGCTCTGGCTCTTCAGTAATTAACCCAAGATCACAGGGATAGAAAATGACAGAACTGGCACGGAAACCCAGGCCTATAGTTCCAACAACCCGTTACTTCTAGGGGAGATGCACAAGCTCAGATGGGCAACACCAGTAAGGGGCCTCTCTCTCTACCTCGTGATCGCCAGTGCAGCCCAATCCAGTGGCATCCAGGATGCAGCGTCCCAGCCACTCATCCGGGCGTGCACTGATGATATCGTTGCGGCAGCTTTCCAGATGGGGGCGCAGTTGCTGCAGGAGCGTGCGTGATAACAGCACTCCGAAGCCGCCATGGCAGTAGCGGCCGGGGGCTGACTCTCCACCAATGAAGTCCTGGGGGCGGCCCAGGTAAAGATGGGCAGCGGCAGCCAGGCTAAGGCGGCCAACCAGGCGCGCCAGTCCGTGTGCCTCGGTGTAGGTGGCATCTGGCACTAGGAAGAACCAGTCAAAGTCATCGCCGTGTTGTTCCAGCAGGTGGCGCAGTGCCAGGTGCAGGTGCCCAATGGGCCGCTCTTCGCCCAGTGTCACCACGGCCATGCCCGGTGGTGTCCGTCGGCCCCGCGAGCCTGTCAGATACACCACACGCTCCAGCCGGTGGCCCAGTGTGCGGTTCACAGCGACGCCCAGCGTAGGCAGCGTGGCTTGTGAGGTCAGCACGGCTACTAGCAGCTTCTGCCTGATGCCAAGCTCTGTGCTGATGTAGCGGGTCCTGGGGAGGATAGCACAAGGTTAACAAAAGGACAACAGGGCAGGCTAGAGTGAGCAAACTCAGGCTCTGGCAGGTCATGTCCTTTCTGTGCCTGTTTCCTCACCTACGAAAAAATTCCAGGGGTCATGAGGATTTCGGTGAAATGTTGACTTTGCCTATACAGTGTTGTGGGGAGATGGCAATAGCCATGCAAGTATGAGGGATCAGTTGCAGCTCTGATTCCCCGTTTCCGATCCCTACCTAGATGTGTGTCCTTGAGCAAGTTGTTTAACCTATGCCAGCCTCAGTTACCTAATCTGTAAAGTGGGTTGACTCTATCTATTAAAGCACTTACCCAAATGTTTGGCACATAGGTTCTCCACACTCCCTGTACATATTAATACCTTCCTTCTGTCGATATAAATATACCGTTACAACACAAACCTATACCTTAAGGAAGGGAATATATGGCAGAGATATACTGTGTGTTTGGGGAGAAGCAAACTAGGGCTCAAGGGCTCAGAGGAGTCTCCTTCCAATGCAGAAAGTGAGCTGTAGAAGTGGAATTTGAACTCAATGTTACTTAGGAGATACTATTTCAACTCATCAGCAGTGGGAAAATAGGTGTATTTGGGACCTCCAAATTTCACCCTCCGGTGCCCCACCAAGGAACAATAAACACAGGTAAATCCCAGTTCTCGTTTCTTTTTCTCTGCAGCCACTCTGAACGTCAGTCATTTTTCTAAACCAAGAGCCCAGCCAGGGAGCTATGAGGATGCTGATGGGACCATGGGGTGACGGGCAAGTTCATCCCAGGCCTGGACCTAGAGAGAGCTTCGGTTGCGCTCCCCAGCTCCCCGTGAAGCAGGGCCATCGGAAGTTATCCCGAGCCCAATGACTTCCTGGCCGGCCAGCCCCTTCCTTCCGGAGCCTGATCCGGCCCCCAGCAGCCTCCCCAGCGCACCCGTCCCGGTCGGTGCCCAGGGGGTGGGGCTGGCGGGGCCGATCCCTACCTGACGGCCTTTTTGGCGGCCTGGCCAGGCTGTGCAGGGTGGTAGGGCAAGACACGCGGTTCCCAGTTCTCTCCGGCGCCGGCCCCGGGCCTTTCGCGCTCGGCTCCCGGCTGCACCGAGTTGGGCCGGCGCGCTGCGTTGGTGTTGCCGCGCGGCGGCAGCTCAGAATCACCGGGTTGGGGCGGCCCTGGGCCGCAGGGCTCCTCCACCCAGGTGACGCTGAGCAGGCTCAGAGTGAAGCCCAGAGAGATCCCCACGGCCACGGGCCCTGCGGGCCGCAGCACCGACAGCAGCAGCGATGCCCGCATGGCGCCCGGACCGCCGGGCCCCGGCCGGGGAGAAGCCCGAAACCAGCCAGAGGAGTCTCCGAGGGGGCGGGCCCGGGGAGGGGGCGGATCCGGACGTCCCGGGCCAAGCGGGCGGGCCCGCTCCCTCCCCGCCGAGCAGAGCAAGACCCCCGCGCCGAATCCCCTGCACCGAGCTCCGATCCTCCTCCAGCCGCCTCTCGGTACAGCAGGTTTCCAGTGCTCGGCGTCGGAGCCTCCCCGGCGGCCGCCGCTGTCCGACGTGTCACTGCGTGAGCCCCGCCTCCGGGGTGGGGTCTTGGGCCCGAGCTACCGGAGAGGGAGGAGAAGGGGGAGGTTAAAGGGGAGGGCCTCCCGGAAGTGCCCCCTCCTCAGTACTGGAGAGGAGACGCTGGGGGCGGAGTCCCCTAGCTCCCCTCGGTGTGGTTGGTGCGTCCTGGGTGACGTCAGAAGCAGCCCGCCCCTGCCTGGATGGTGCGCCCTGAGTGACGTCAGGAGCAGAGGCCGGAGCTGTCCATCAGCACCAAAGGCCGCGGGCGGGCTCAGGGCATGGGGCCGCGGCTCTGGGGCAGCCTGAGCCCCTGCTCCCGCGCCTTTCCCTTCCCCAGGTCCATCCTGAGTCCCCGGACACCGTGGGACTGGAGTGCCGCCCGGTGCTGGAGACGGAGCGGCGACGCCGCCGCGCAGAGACCGGTCTCTCCGGCCCAGCAAGCCCCTTCCCCGCACGGCGGACTTTTACCAGAGCCGGGGCCTCTGGCGCCCAGCAACTCCGGATCCTCCGGCCCCTGCACAGCCGCTTTCGCTCAGAAGCTCAGGTCGCCTCCAGCACAGGTAGATCTTGGACAATTCCAGATTTAGCCGCCCACAGATGAGTCTTTTGGCTGTCTCCTCCGTGGCAGCTGTACTGCCCTCATAGCTTCCCAACCCGGTCCCGCCTTTTAACTTCTTCACCCCAGACCCTTCTAATCAGACACTTCAGTTTCCCTTTGTCTTTTGCCCTCCCCACTTCAGGGGTGCTTCCGGAGGTGCATGATGTGTGTGCCATCCCTTTGTCCACTCTGTCCTTTCTCCCACTGCCATTCTCGCTCCCATCCTGTTGGAGACCCAGGACTGACTCTTCCTTGACACCCCAACTTCCTCTTTGTCAGGCTGACCTGGGAGGGTGACTCCCTGTGTTTCCAGCACTATGCCAGGCACGGTGGCAACATTGCGGTTCCAGCTGCTGCCCCCAGAGCCAGATGACGATGCTTTCTGGGGTGCACCCTGTGAACAGTCCCTGGAACGCAGGTACCAGGCACTGCCGGCCCTCATCTGCATCATGTGCTGTCTGTTTGGAGTCGTCTACTGCTTCTTCGGTGAGACCCCCATCTCATCCCTCACCTGGGCTCCCCACTGGTTCCCCAAGTTATTTTCTGAGGCTCCCCACCCCAAATCTCTAGAACTTCACCACCACCAGAAATAACGATCTTTTATTTCATCCCACATATGTTCCTAGATCAATTAGACTTTAGATCCTAGTGAACAGAGGTCTCTGAATTAAGCATATTGAGTATGAATTTGGCTCCATTCCTTACCAATTGTGATGCTTTGGGCACATTAACTGTCTGAGCCTTAGTTTTCTAATCTGGACAGTGGGTACAGTGATAATTTGTTTCAATAGGGTTGTTTTGAGAATTAGTAGACAATTTATAATAATCACTGTGTTGAGAATGTGTTTGGATCACTGTGCTACATAGGCACTGAAAACATTTTGCAGGGTGATTAAACATGGTCTTTTCCCACAGGGTATATTGTCTGATGGGGGAAACACTTCTGGAATATTCACATCCATGATACATATTAGAGTGGGCTAGATGCTAATCACATACACAGAGCGATCGCCCACAAGGCTCTGAACAGTTGTACAGGATGGTTCTACGTGAAAGAGTTCAGTTGAATAGGCAAGTGGGGGCTGAAATCTCCCAGCCCCTGCTCCACTTGCCAACCTCTAGGTCTTGACGCGAGGTTGTTTTGCCTTTTTATAATTTGCACACAGTTGCCAGATAGGCTAGTAAAGTAAGTGCCAGCAACTCTACAGCAAGAATCATAGAACTTCTGTGAGGGAAATGAACTCTATGAGTTGGGGTCCAAGAGAAGCGTCCAGGAGCATTATAGACAACAATAAAATGCAAAGGAGGCTTGGATGTCTGGTTTCCAGACTGGGCAGAAGTGGGCTGACACTTGTACTCTGCAGCCTCCCTCCACCCCAACAATGGCTGGGTAGTTGGGTAGTAGGCAGCAAGAGAGCCAGATGGTGCCTCCCCTACCACCTCCAAACTCAGGGCTGAATAACTGAAGAGTGGGCAGGAAGAAGCATCCCTTTAAAGGTTCAGGACACGTACCGGGCCTCTAAGGAATCTGTGTCACCCCGGCCCCTCCATTGTCCAGACCTACCTGCTCTGCAGTTGCTCCACACAGCCTGACATTCCCTCCCCTGGCTTCCCTGCTACCCGACCCCTGTTGGGTACCCTCACCCCCAGACTCCTGCACTCTGAATCTCCATGCATGCTCCACTTCTCTTTCTGGCCCTAGAATACCCATAGGCTTTGATGATTGCCCTTTATTGCTGGCAGTCCCCTATCCTTTGACCCCTCTCTCTGATTTCCATCTTCCTAACTGTTCAGAATCCACAAGTCCCTTACTCTTTCTGGGACTCTTAATGGGCCTAGTGACCTTATAACCCTCAACTTCTGAAACTAATCACTATTCCCCTCCACAATCCTCTTTGAGTCCTTATGATGCCTGGTAAGTCCTAGAGACCCCAAGCACGCTTTAGTTATCTCATTACCTTACTTCTCTCAGACTCCCTCTATTACTCTTTATCTCTGGTTTCCCCCAACTCCCTGCCTCTTATGACCCCAATGTCTGATTGCCCCCCTCCCACTGTGAATTCAGTGACCCCATTTCACTGACTTCAGTATTACCCCTTTTCAGAAACCCTTTAATATTCCTAACCCCCCAGCAAAAACCTCATCTCCGCCAGGGAAACCCATCCCCCAAATTCTGCTTCTCGCCTTTCTTTGTAAACTTCTAATGATATTCTATCTCGAAAGCCTTGTCACCCCTCAAAGTTGTCATCTTTCTGAACCTCTCTGAGCCTCATTTCTCAAACTCTTATTTCCAAAGACCTCATTTCTCTGAACAAAGTGCTCCCTACAGCCGCCAATGACCTCACTGCTCATCCCTTGTGGCCCCAGAGACGCACCTCTCTGACTCCCATGATCCCAAAGACTCTAGGCCCTACTAGTGATCCACTCTTGATTCCAATGAGCTGGCTCCTCTGGCCTCACTTACCTCAATAACTCACTTACCTCAATAACTCTATTTTCCCAATGACCTCCCAGGCTTAGCCGTCTGACCTCCCTTGACCCCAGTGACCCCATCACGGATGCCCTCGTTATCCCAACATCCCCAGTTCTCTGATCTAGTGCCGTGCCCCTGGTTCCCCTGTGATCCCATGCCCCTGGCCCCTCTGAACTTCTGCCTCCAGCCTGGTGACCTCCTTTTGGCTCCTCACTAGCCCCTGTTCTCCTCCAGGTTACCGCTGCTTCAAGGCAGTGCTCTTCCTCACTGGGCTGCTGTTTGGCTCAGTGGTCATCTTCCTGCTGTGCTACCGAGAGCGGGTGCTGGAGACGCAGCTGAGTGCCGGGGCGAGCGCAGGCATCGCACTGGGCATCGGGCTGCTCTGCGGGCTGGTGGCCATGCTGGTGCGCAGCGTTGGCCTCTTCCTGGTGGGGCTGCTGCTAGGCCTGCTGCTCGCTGCTGCCGCCCTGTTGGGCTCTGCACCTTACTACCAGCCTGGCTCCGTGTGGGGCCCACTGGGGCTGTTGCTGGGGGGCGGCCTGCTCTGCGCCCTGCTCACACTGCGCTGGCCCCGCCCGCTCACCACCCTGGCCACTGCCGTGACCGGTGCTGCACTCATCGCCACTGCTGCTGACTACTTCGCCGAGCTGCTGCTGCTGGGGCGCTACGCGGTGGAGCGACTGCGGGCAGCCCCCGTGCCCCCACTCTGCTGGCGGAGCTGGGCCCTGCTGGCACTCTGGCCCCTGCTCAGTCTGATGGGCGTTCTGGTGCAATGGCGGGTGACAGCTGAGAGAGACTCCCACACAGAAGGTGAGAGGGCACAGGTCAGGGCGGACAGGAGAGAGATGAATGGCCAGGGGTGGGGACTCAGAGGCGGGGAGCTGAGGGGAGCTGTACCCACCAGCTGCTGAAGGCCTCAATGGGTTTGCAGAGCTGACTCACTCAGGAAGATGGGACCTCAGTGCCACCATGATGCTGCAGCAGTGTATGGAGCAGGGGCTCGGTGCCAAGCCCACTCCAGGCACCAGGATACAGCAGAGACAGAGCAAGAAGGGTCACCTGCCCCTAGGGGGCTATGTTTGGATGGGGCGACACAGGCAATAAACAAACAAAACAGGCAAACAAGCGAGATCATTCCAGTGGTGCAGAGCAGTATGAAGAAGTGATGGGTGACACGCAATACAGACAGGGTGGTCAAGGAAGGTGACTTGGAAGAGGTAATGCCTAGGGCTTGAAGGAGAAGGGGCCAGCCACGTAAGGAGCCACTTAAGGAGCCGGCGACGGGAACAGCAAGGGCAAGGGCCTGAGAAGGAAGAGCTTGGCCTGTGTGAGGAAGTGGAGCTGGAATGGCCACGAGTGGGTGAGGGTGCTGACTGTGTGCGCACTCTGGGCCACGAGGAGGACCCCGGATTTTATTAGAAGGGCAAGGAGATGCTGTTGGAGGCTGCAAGCAGGGGAAGATCTAACCTAATTAGCATCTGGGGTACAATTGTGGCTGCTGGGTGTAGGAAAGCCTTGGTGCAGGCAAGCATGGAAGGGGGAAACCGGTGGGGTGGCAACTGTGGTTGTCCAGGTGAGAATGATGATGACCACTCCAGGTGAGTCCCATCGGGCTCAGGATTGGGAGAGGGGTGATAGCCAGGGAGGCCCACAAACACTTTCGGAAGAACAAATGCAGAAAGTCCCATCTGGGAGGTGGGAGACCAGGAAAGGAAGGGGGATCTAGAAGCCTGGAGCCCTGGGTTGGAAGGGTCGGGGAGGCTTGGGAGGAGATGAAGCACGTGGCTTCAGACCCTTTTCTGCTCATCTGCTCACAGTGGTCATCAGCCGGCAGCGGCGACGTGTGCAGCTGATGCGGATTCGGCAGCAGGAAGAGCGCAAGGAGAAGCGGAGGAAGAGACCCCCTCGGGCTCCACCCAGGGGTCCCCGGGCTCCCCCAAGGCCCGGACCCCCTGACCCTGCTTATCGGCGCAGGCCAGTGCCCATCAAACGCTTCAATGGAGACGTCCTCTCCCCGGTGAGCATCCTGAGCCTGCCAGCCCGTGTGGGGGAGGAGGAAGAGGGGTAGATCTTGTTCAAGCAGGACTATGCTCTCCCAGGGGCTGGTGATGCCTAGAAGGCCTGGCATTTGTCTGCCTACCTGACCCCTCACCAGGAGGCTGATGGGTCCAGCTCTGGGGATGGGGGAGGAGTACGAGTTTTAAATGGGGTACAGTATGGGGTAGGGCTATGGGCATGGTGAGGTCCTGGGCCCGTAACAAGTATCAGGATTGTGGGGTACAGGGAGAGGTGGCTTTCGGGCACAGGTCTACGGTGGCCCTTCATGCCTGTGTTTACTCGCCCACAGAGCTACATCCAGAGCTTCCGGGACCGGCAGACCGGGAGCTCACTGAGCTCTTTCATGACCTCGCCCACAGATGCGGACTATGAGTATGGGTCCCGGGGGCCACTGACGGCCTGCTCAGGGCCGCCTGTGCGGGTATAGCAGTACCGCTGCTCCTGCCCACCTAGACTCTGCGGTCACCAGCGCTGCCAGCGAGGGGAGGCCTGCTGGCCGCCACCCAGCCTGCCTGGCCCTGCAGCCTTGGCTGCCTCTCTTCCCACCCTGGAGAGGGCTGGCCTGGGGGCTGGCAGGGACAGGCTTGTCTTAGGCGAGGCCTGGCCTAAGGGGAGAGCCCCCTCCCAGCTCCGAGGGGCTCCTAAGGGACGCGGGGTGTGAGCCCCATTGGGGTGTGCTCAGGGTTGTGAGTGTGTTACCCGTGTGTGTGTGTACGTGTGGAGGGGTGGGCTTGGAGGGGACAGTGGACTCTTGCCTTAGATTTCTGATTGGTAGGGCTTCTCCAAGGTTGGCTCGGCCTCCTCTCCCACTGCTGGGGTCTCCTGGGCCACTCTCCTGCATGTCTAAGTGGAGGGGGTCTGCCTCCTCCCCATTGCCCTGCCTCTCAACCGGACTCATCTAAAGGTTCTTGTCCTTGCTCACGGGGCAAACTGTAGCACCCCTCACCTTGGTCCCCTGTCCTCTGCAAAGCCACCAGCCTGAGGGCAGTGGCAGGGGATGGGGGTGGGGGGTGCTGCTCTGGGTTGGGTTGGGGAGAGGGCTGGGGGGGGCGCTTAAATGCACGGTGCATGTCTGGTGTCTGTCATGCCAGCCTGGACACCTCATGCTTCTGTCTCCCCCACCCCACCCTGTTTTACATCTTTTATAAATGTGCCAAGCGGTGTGGCTTTTGCCAGGAGTGGTGGTCTTTGGTGGCTGGCACTTCCAGGGCCAAGTTAGAAGCTCTGTAGCCCTTGGTCTCCTGTGTTACACGAGGATGTCCAGGCAGGTTCTGCCTTCCCACGTCACACGGAGAGCCAGGGAAAGGACTGTACCACTTTTATTGTCTCCCAACACCTCCAGTTCCCTTGCCTCCCACCCCTGCCCAGAGAAAGGGCAAGCGCCTTCCAAGCTGTCCGAGGGCCCCGCCTGGCCTGGTTCGGTCCTCCTAGCTCCCTGCAGAGGAATGACTCACGTGGGACTGGGGAGAGAGTGGGCGCCACCTTCTTCTCCCCGGCAGAGCCTGGGCACCCGGACAGGAAGAGCGGCCCTTCACCCTCTGCCCCACCCCTCTGAAGCCTCTGTTGGACTGTCCATGAGGACAGAAAAGTGTGGGTCTGCTGGGGTGGGGCAAGGCAGGAGTACAGGCAGAGAGTAGACTAGCTCTCTCCTATGTGGAAGAGGAGAGAGGTGGGACCAGCTCAGGGGCTTTCTGCTCAGGCTGATGTTGAATTCGCTGAGATGGGAAGAAGCCAGCTGGGTAGAGAGCAAGAGGAGGTGAGGGACAGGTGGGGGGCCAGAGACCAGAGGTGGCAGACAGGAAGAAGGGAACTCGGGTACACATGGGGTAATCAGGAGAGACAAACAGGAGTGAGGAGAAGCCTGGACAGGAAGGGGGTAGAACAGCTGACCTGAACCAGATGGTTCCTGCTGAGAACAGTAGGGCTCCTCCTCTCCTCAGTCCCGTGTGTGATCCCCTCCCCCCTTCCAGTACACCCCAGAACCAACTTGCCACCCCAAGTCCTGGAAAGCCTGCAGGAATGTCTACCATCACCAGCATCCAGGCGACCCCTCCTGCCGGACCAGCCAGCATGCCCCCTAACCTCTGTCAGTCGGCTTTACTCACCCTCTACCAGCAGCCGAGTGTAGGCGCTGTCCTGACCGGCCTGGCAGCAGTAGGTGCCCTGGTCCTCCGGTCTCACGTCACGGATGACCAGGCTGTGGGTGGGGCCGTGGCTGCGCAGCTCGTACTTGTCTCCCGGATACAGCTCGACCCCCTCCCGCAACCAGCACACTCTGCCCCCTGAGCGGGACACAGTCACCTCCAGCACCGCTCGGCGGCCAACCAGAACTGACTTCTCGCGAGGGGGGCGGCGGCACATCTGGAGAGGCAGTGCTGGGGTGGGGGTGAGGGCTTAAGTTAGCAGGCGCGCGCAGGGCGCCCAGGAGAAGGGACACATCTCCCCTCCCCCGGCGGCCTTCATTCCTGGTCTCAGACCTCTGTGCCACCTGCCTGTTCTGCGGTGCCCCCGAGGTCGCCTCCTCCCCAGGGAACGCACTGCCCTCTGTGACCCGCTGCAGAAGAGTCCCTCGAGCAGGGAGGGTGGGCTGGGCTTGGGGGAACAGTTCCCAGTGCAGCCGCCGGCCTGCCAGTTCCAGCAGGAGACGGTGCCCACTGCCCGGCCGCCCGGCCCAGCTGCTTACCCTCCACCTCCAGCAGAGCCACCGACTGGGCGGGTCCGGCCTGGAAGCGCACCTCACCGGCGTCCTCCGCGCGCAGTTCGCTCAGCACCAGAATATGTTTCTTCCCTAGGGGGTGAGGGGGCGCTAGCGAGGCGCGAGCGCCTCCGTGGAGGGTTCGGGGTTGAAGATGGGACCGGAGTAGGTGCAGGGTCGGTTCAGACGCGGTAACTGCGAGCGTCCCGAGGTGGGCGGCTCTGAGGTTCTGAGGGGCAAGAGGAGCGATCCCAGAACCAGATCTGAGCGGGGGTCAGGGAAAGACACTGAAACGCCTAGTTGTGCCTTGGGGCGGGGTCCACTCGAGCTGGAGGCGGGGCTCTCGCCGGGAGGGTGGGGTCTGGCCGGGCCGGGGGCGGAGTCTGTCTGAGCTGGGGGCGGGGCAGTAGGGGCCAGAGTGGGTAAAAGGCCGGTCAGACCTTCCTGTCGCATGCGGACGCGGCCTCCGGGTCTCAGCGGGCGGCCTCCGAGCTCCCACCTCCGGGTGATGTCGACTTCCGACACGGTGCACTCGAACGTGGCGCTGTCGCCTTCGCGGGCGCGCACGGACCTGAGCTCGCAGAGCACCGCCACGGTGCGCTCTGGGGCGGAGCCCGGGGCGTCAGGAGGGCGGGGCTTGTGAGCGGCACCCAGCTACGTCTGCGTGTCGCCCCATCTCTAAATGCCCGCCACGGCCACCCCAGGTCACTGGAGTAAAATCCGATCTGCACCCGCTGCACCCCCAGCAGTGACCCGCCCGGGTATTACCCCGTACCCACCGCGCACGGACAGGCGGACAGGCCCGGCGCGGACGGTCCCCACCGCGCAGCTGTAGGTTCCGGCGTCCAGGGGGCCGCAGCACCGCAGCTGGAGAAGGCGGCGCCTGCCAAGGGCCTGAAGCTTGAGCCGAGGGCTGGGAGAGAGCGGGTCCCCGTCCTAGGGGCGGGAGTTTCAAAAGGTCGAAGTGAACTCGGCTGGGAAAGGCGACCGCGGCCCTGGGAGGCACCCACGGCGCCCTCTGTTGATGCCAAACGGTCTCGAGGTGTGTTTCCGTTTGACTGTGCCCGCGCACGTGTCCTTGAGCACACACATATCCACATACACAGCCGCTCAAGTTGGGGTCTGGCCAGGCGCCCTAAATGGGAAGTTGGCACTCTGGGGGGCGTTAAGGTTGAGGAGTACCATGGGGCGGGAAGCCCATAATCATGCATCACACCAGTGATATATATATGACACACACATACATATATACCCACCAGTTGTGGATTCTAGAATTAGGCAAAACTGGATTAAAATACGAGCCCTACCCCCTTACCTGCCCCTGGGCAATGCTTCAGCCCACAGAGCCTCTGTCTCCTGATATATAACAAAGGGATAAGAAGACCTACCTCTAGGGCCATAGAATTAAAGGATTAGATGTAAAGCAAATTTTAGCACTGTGCTAGGCACATCCATGTAATGAACGTTAGTGTTTCTGCTTGAGGCATTATTATGAGACCAAGGTGGGTGGGACTGGGCTCTGACCTTCTCCCAGGTGACATCAGCCAAGGCCTGGGAAAGCTCGCACTGGAACGTAGCTGTGTCTCCCTCAGTCACCTCTAGGTCCTGTAGCCCCCGCACAATGGTCACTGGGGCCTCTGGGGGAGGGGAGAGGACAATGCTGAGTGAGCAGGTAAGGGCAGATTGGGCCCAAATCACAGGGACAAAGAGGACACCCTTGAGCACAAGAGGCCAGTGGCTGACACATTTAGACGAGTCTAGATGTGGAGGCTACTAGTGAGTGGGAGGTACTGGGCAAGAGGACAAAGGGGGTGCTGGTCAGTGGGAAACACTGGGGTCGAAGGGGTCGATGTGTGGCAGGCATGGTCAGCAGTGGCCACACTTGGCTGGAATGGCTAGGCAACCCTGGCCAATGGGAGACACTGTGGTTTCAGAAAAGCTATGGGGGTTCCCATCACAGGTGTGGAGCACGGTGATGCTGTGCTGGGGTCACCCCCAGGCACAGAGCTGCTGGTGGAGTCACCCCTGGGCAGTGTGTGGGCCACTGCGGCCTGAGTAAGAAAAGTACTCAGAGAGGCCGAGGGGGCCACAGCAGACAGGTGTGGTCAGTGGGGTCACACTCAGAGGGGTCCATGGGGCTGTGGTCAGGCAGGCAGACAACAGGACCCGCGCCGTCCCAGGCATGCTCAGAGTGGGGGAGGGGAGAGGACAACAGCCAGCTGTTGCACTCTGTGCAGCACTACTGGGCCCACACTGGGCCAGAGGCCTGGAGCGTCACACTCTAGCAAGGATGTCAGTGGGGGTCACACCAGAAAAGGTATGTTAGTGGGAGCCACACAGGTGGTGGGATCAGCAGTCACGGCTGGTGGTCAGCCGGCAAGCAGCGGTGCCCAAGGCCGCACCTCTCACAGTGAGTCTGGCCGCAGAGCGCAGAGAATCCGCAGTGAAGGAGACGCAGCCAGAGTCGGCCAGGCCCAAGCCACTGAGCACCAGGCGGTGGGTGTGACCCTCTGCATGTATGTGGCACTTGGGCCCTGGCTGCAGCCGGACTCCTCCCTGGGCCCACTCCCCGGCCACACCCTCCTGGGACAGCTCCAGCCGGAAGGTGGCGCTGCCCCCCTCGATGACGGTCACATCTTCCAGAGGCTGCAGCACCCTCAGCTGCCTCGCTGGTGGGGGGAGATGGGGAGAGAGGGCAGGTGAAGGCGCAGGGGCTTCAGTGGGCTCACAAACCCTTTGGCCCTGCCTGCACTGTCCCTAACCCCCAACTTGAGGCCCTATGGAAAGAAGTTCAGAATCCAGGTGCAGAAAGAAGGGAGCAGGGGCCAGCCGTTGGCAAAGCTCTGTCTGGGCACTTCTCATGGCATCTAGTTAATGGCCCCCAAGAGCCTTGAAGTAAGGATCAGCCTCATTTTTAAGAAGACTTGGCTCAGAGGGGTTAAATAGTTTGCAGGAGGCCACACAGATAAGAGAGGGCGCCAGTCACCGTCCCGGCATCGGCCAGCTGGCAGGGCGCCACAGACCAGCCATCCCCACTTCTCAGACCGGCCAGAAGGGCAAACACGGGCAGAGCATTCTGGAGCATAACATTTATGTTTATAGCAAAGCGAACTCGGACATAGGAAATGGAAAGCGAAGCCCACATGGACTGCTAAGGCCAATAAAAAACATTAGAAAAAGCAAAGTTTTGCTTTGGGCAGGTCACACTCTGGAGGTCAGCCACAGCTGACCTTCCTCGGTGGTGAGGGGCACTTTGGTGGGGGTGCTGAGGGGCCCCGGGCCGGCCGGGAAAGGCTGTGCCGGGGCAAGCGATGTGTTAGGAGAGGACAGGGCACTCACGCCTCACACTGAGCCTGGCCAGCGTGCGATCGTGCTGGCTCTCACAGCCGTAGGTGCCCTGGTCGGCCATGACGACGCCGTGGATGAAGAGGCGGTGCACGTGGCCGTCCTGGGCCATGGACAGGCGGGAGTCGCAGGGCAAGGGCTCCCCGCCACGCACCCAGCGCACGGCGCCCGCGGCCCCCACTCGGCCAGTCTCCACTTCCAGGCACACGTCCTGGCCTTCCTCTGCCCGCACGTCCTGCAGCCTCCGCAGGAACAGCAGCTCCGTTTCTAGGGGAGGAATGGGGGTGGGGGGAGGCATGAGCCAGGGGGGCCTGGAGACCGCCCCCTGCCCCCTCTCCGGGTCTGGGCACATGCTAAGGAAGGGCTGGGAGAGCAGAACCAGACCTCGCACGTGGAGCCGGGCACTTGAGGCTGCGCTGCCCGCTCGGGCAGTCACCGTCCCCGCATCGGCCAGCTGGCAGGCGCGCACGGTCAGGGTGCGGCTTGGGCCATTCTGGGCCATCTCTAGCTGGGGCCCTGGAGTGACAACGGCCCCATTGCGCAGCCAGGTGACCTCGGCGTCTGCTGGGGAGACCTCACACCGAAATGTGGCATCGTCACCCTCGTGGACAGTTAGCGGAGTCAGCTCCGAGACCAGCTTCACTGGAGGTGGTTCTGGGGAGCAGGGACAGCAGCGAGGTGGGCTGGGTCCTCCCCCTTTCCTCCTCCTCAGGGTACAAGCCCTCACCCCCCAATTAGTTAACCGACCTTTCTTGAGGACCTACTGTGTATCCACCATGGGGTGCTCAAAGGACAAGATGCCGCCTCCTGCCACACCTGGCCAGCTCCTCTCAATGCTGGCCTGGTGCTAGGCTGACTCCCTAATAGCAGACCCTCTACTGCGGACCCCATTTACCTCATTTAACTGTCACAGCAGCTGTGTGACACATGCACCAGCCTCCCTCTTTAGACCCAGGGGTCAGAACAGTGAGCAACCTGCCAGTGTCTGACTACAGGGAACAGAATCCAGGTTAAACCCCGAGCCTCTAGCCACTGGTCTCTACCACTGGTCTCCTTCCCCCAAAGGGAGCCCCAAGTCTTCATCCCAGTAACAGCTGTACATGCACCGGCTGGAGCAACGGCATTGAGGCAGGGAAGAGTGGGGACCCTGTAAGAGTGTGGTCCTTGGGGTGCCAGAACGCAAAGGGTGATGGGGGCACTGTTACCTGCGACGCGGACGAGGAAGATGCAGCTGTCCCGCGGCGTGTCACACAGGTACTCCCCAGCGTCCCCGCTCCGTGACCCCCCACTCCGTGACCTCCCTGCACCCGCAGCACCTGCCTGGCCCCAGCCTGCTCCAGCTGCACCCGCCCCTGGCTGGCCAGTCGCTCCCTGTCCTTGTACCAGCGCACAGGGCCCCCAGGCCCAGAGAGGTGCACCTCCAGCTCTAGGTCCCCACCTGGGGTGCTGCAAACCCTCGTGTGGGCTGCCTCGGGGGCCACTACCCCCCCTCAGGGGGGCTCTGCCGAGTCAGAGCTGGGTGTCACTGGGAGGAGCGGCTCAAGGAGTTTGAAGAGAGAGGTGGGAGGTGGGAGGCAAGATGGGGAAAGTTTCAAAGAGGGGCGGGCGGGGGTGGACAAGGGGTGCTAGAGAAGCAGGGAGACTCCTGGGCTTCGGGGTGTAACTCAAGCATTCTGGCCAGGCTTTACTCACCAGCCACTTGCACAGTGAAGCTGAGACTAGGGGCCCCTGGGGCTGCCCCACACTGGCAGGTGTAGAGGCCTGACTGGGCGGGGTCTGCAGCCAGGATGCGCAGGACGTGTCGGGGACCCTCAGCACGCAGCTCCAGGCCATCCCCCTCCTGCACAGGCGTCCCGTTGTGGCTCCAGACGACACGGGCGCCAGTCCGGGACAGTTCACAGCTCAGCACCACGGGCTCCCCGGGAGCCACACGGAGTGGACCGGGGGCTGCTTCTGGGGCCAGGAACTGGACTGGGGGTTCTGGACAGAGAGGAGGGGTCAGCCTGGGGTTTCCCCTGCCTCCCTCTCAACCCCCATCAGGCTGGCCGGGACTACACACCAGCCACGCGGACATTGAAGGTGACAGCCTCATCACGGGTCTCGCACACGTACTCCCCGGCGTCCTCAGGCTGGGCGTGGGGCAGGGCTAGGGTGCGAACGGGTCCCTCAGCACCCAGCTGCAGGCTGTCTGATGCTTCCACTTCCAGCCCATCCTTGTACCAGCGGACCTGCGACCCAGCTGGGGACACCTCACAGCGCAGCTCCACTCGCCCGGGGGCCCCAAACTGCAGGTCCAGGTTGCGGGCCGCTGGGTGCACAATCCTCTCTGGTGGGGCTGGTGTGGACAGAGATGCGGGTTCTCAGCCTCGGCCAGCCGCCCTCTGCCTGCCTCATCCACCAGATGCGCAGCCCTCTCCTTCGAAGCACCGCTGTCGGGAATGGCAGGCGACAACCCCTGAGCACACCCGATTCTGCCACACCTGACACTTCTTGGAGTTGTGCCACTGCTGGCCTCACTTCACGGCGGAGGACTTGAGGCCTCGTTAGAGGAAAGTGACGGGCCCAAAGTCACATGTGCACAAAAGGCAGACCTCGACCACACCCAGGGTCTCCAAGCCCAGTGCACACTCTGCCCCTCTGGCCTCCCTTCCCGCGCTGCCTCTGATGCTCCCTAAGGTCGAGGGAGGCAGCAGGGACAAGTCTGGGGCGGCCACCTTGACTCTGGGGCTGCTACTGTCTGCATGCCGGAGCCTCCTAACCTTGCGCCTCCTAAGTTCTGGGAAGTGCCTGCATGCCGGGAGCTGATGAGCATCACTGATGAATCAGTTTCTGAAAAGCAACCTCATACCCACGTTCCCCACCAGGCGCGACTTCTCCGACCCCCCTTTGGGAACCTTGTCCGGGAGCGCAATAAAGTTCCTGCCTGGCAGAAACTTTGCCTGGTTCTCCTCATCTTTTAACTGCGCTGAACCTTTCACTGATAAACCATCAACCTTACTTATTTTCTGTCTGTCCATACTCCCTGGAATGCAAGCTTCTCTTGCTGGTGCATTCCTGTATCCCTCTAGAACAGGGCTGAGCTCACAGCCTCTGCTGACTGAATGATAAAAGCTGCTAGTTATAGGCTCCTCTCCACCAGACTCTGGTCACTGTCCCAACCTCATGTGGACAAGCCAGGGCTCTCTGATGGCTGAAATGAGAGGAGCCAGAGGAGGCTGGAGAATGGGAAGGCTCTGAGGTGTGGGAGGGGGGCCCCAAGATGAGGAAGCAGGGAGGTTGGGTGCAGCCGCTCCTGCTGTCTGCTGCCCGGGGTGCCCCCAGGCCTGCCCACCTGTGACGGTGACCGTGAAGAAGGCTGAGTCATCTCCAGCGTCACACACGAACTCGCCCCCGTCCTCGGGCTGGGCTGCAGGCAGCACCAGGCGGCGGCAGGGCCCATCACGTTGCAGCACCAGAGCGTCACTCTCCTCCACCTCCAGTCCATCCTTGTACCAGCGCACGGGGGCGTCCTCCCGGGAGAGCTCACACATCAGCACCACACACTCCAAGCTCACGGCGATCAGGGTCACCTCATCCCGGGGGTATATGATGTGGACCGGGGGCTCTGCAGAGTGGCCAACCACAGTCTGTCACAAACTCCCCGCCTGCCTCCCTGCAGCCACTGGCCACATGTTCTCGCCGCCCACAGTAACAAGAGCACTGAGGGTCCCGACAAGTAGTGACAGGGTCACAATCTGTCCTCTGAAGCCCCTGGGCAGAGGTGTGACAGAGTCTAGAATGCTTCAGAGTCCAGCACTGACCGCACACTAAGTCCTGTGGCAGCCCCCCGCCCACCCTCCAGCGTAGGTCCCGAAGACCTCCTGAGTAATCAAGATTTCTGCAGTGTGACTAGATATATTTACCATACGCAGGAGAATTAAAGAGAAAACGAGAGCTTCACAGCAGCTAAGCTCAGGTTTTATGGAATTACCTTTGAACACTGAACTTTCAAGTAGCCTTTTGATCGGGGAGGGGGTTCTGCTTTGCTTTGGCATAGTGGGTAAGGAACCTGCAACGGTCTGTAATGACAGCTGCTTATTATCCCTTCCTAAAGTGCCAGGCACCGAGCTAAACTGCACATTTAACCCTCACAACAGTCCTAAGAGGGAGGGACTCTTTTATTCCCATTTTCTGGACGAGGCAACGGAGACACAGAGTGACTAAGGTCACAGCTGGCGACACCTGCCCTCCGGCAGGAGGACGAACCCCCATCCGTTAAAGGGAAGCTCAGACAGCAAGCAGTGGCCCCCTGATTGCCAGCCAAGGCCTGCAGGCACTGGGGAACGGTTTTAACATCTGTGCGTAAGAGTTGCCAACACCTGCCCAAGAGTTCCCAGGGGGCTCAGTGCTGAATCTGGGAGTCCGTCTCCAACTGCTGGTAAGTGGTCACACTTCCGCTGCCAGGGAACCATGTCAACACTGGATATGCCCGGACACTGAGCACAGCCTGCCCATGCTGGGGGGGGGGGGGTTGGGGGGGGGCGCCTCCTGGAATCACTTTAGCGCTCCCTGGCGTTTGCCCCCTGGTGGCCGGGCGAGGGAACAGCTCGCTTCCTGGTCTGAGTTTTGCAGATGGGTATGGGCAGTGGTGCCCGCCCGCACACACTCTGCAACCCACCTAACTGGGCTTGCTCTGAGTCTGGGGGACGCAGGCTGTTTGTGCGTCCAGCAAGGCAGGTGGCCGGAGCGCTGCGTGGCCGTCTGCGGGGCGGGGCCGGACATGGGGCGGGGGGATGAGGACCCGGCAGCGATGGAGCTGGGATCTCTGCACAGCGGTGGGACCTCAACTTGGCATCAGACTCCATATCCAGGGCGGCATTTGTGTGAACTCCTCCATGAGATTCTGGTGTTCTGTGGGAGGGCGACTGTGGGCTGAAATGTGTGTGGCTGGGCCATTATGTGTCTGTGCAGAGCTTGGGGAGAGACAGGTTGAAGGCACTTGCTACAGTGTGCTACAGTGCAGAACACATGAAGGAAGACTTCTGTGGCTTTGTGGGCTGGTGGGCTCCCCCCCCACGGAATCTTGGGTGCAGGGAGTGGTGGAGGAGACTAAGTGGCTCAGCCTAGGCTGGGCAAAGCAGAGCAAAGGGGAAAAGAGGGTGCCAGCAGCAGGATGGTCAATCCAACACAACCAGCTGGGTTCTTCTGTGCCACCCAAAGCTGCCTGGGCCCCAGGACACCCACCAGGACCTCCACACACACCCATCGGGACTGGTACTGTGGGCTGCAGGCTGTTCTTGGTGGCAACCACCATCACCTCCAAAATCGTCTGGTGCTTTTCCTGATATGAACATTCTCCCCCATCTTCAGCCCAAACGCTGAGTCCACTTAGCTAAGTCAGGCCCTGCTGCAAGTGTCCACTGTGAAGTCACTTCCTGCATGCCTGCATGCTGGCCTGTTCGCTCCCAGCCTCGGGGTTCCAAGGCACCCCAACACAACCCTCACCAGCACCCACTCTAAGACCCTCTCCCATGTCTGGCTTTCCTGCCAGGCTGCCTGCATGCTGTGGAGTGTCCGGAGCCCAGCACGCTGGCTCCGGCGGCGGCAAGCAGATCCCCCCAGGCCCTCCCTGACTCTCTTGCTCTGCCCTCGTGAGTCCTGTCCTTGTCCCTTGAGCACTGGCCACAAGGTGTACTGTGCATTTATTTGGAGTTTATTGACTTAACACAGGGGTCGCAAACTCAAATGCCCGCAGGGGCAAGTAGATAAGGTCAGTGGCTGAAGCAGTCTGGGGAGAGGCAAAAAGGGATGTCGGGGAGGGGTGTCAGAGGAACGTGGCCCCTATCCCAGGGGCGGCTGCTACTCAGCACCAGCTGTTCGTCGCCATGGGGGGAAGCGGGACCAGAGGCGCCGGGTCTTCGGCTTTTTCAAGAGGACGCATAACTCCGGATTGCTATTTGAACTGTCCTGACTTTGGTAAGACTCTGCAGGCCAAACAAAACAATCTGTGTGCTGCATGGGGCCCTGGGGCAGCCCGTTTGCGACCCCTGGTTAACAGCTTTCTCCCCAGCCAGACTGGCAGCTCTCCGAGAGGAGGGACCGGTTTGTGTCACACACCAGTCCCCAGCACACAGAAAGGGTGCCCAGCGCAGCACATCCTGCTTGGCAGGCGAGATGCTGGAGCACAGCTATTCTTGGCTTTGGGCACCGGGGAGAAGCCTGCTGACTTGAACGGGGCTCGGGGATCATCTGGCGGGGGACCCCATGGGTGCGACATGCACCCACAGCCACACCCCCCTCCTCCCCAATGTGTTAGCCAGAGAGTATGTGGGTCAGCTTCCCCTAAGGGCTCAGGACTATCCTCTGGTGACCCTGGGCAGCTGGGGTGGGCCCACACCTGTGACAGTGACGGTGAAGGATGCCGACTCGTCATCGATTTCACATAAGTACTCGCCAGAGTCCTCCAGCTGGACGGCGGGCAGCACCAGGCGGCGGACAGTGTCCTCTTTCTGCAGGAGCAGCGCTGGACTCTCCACCACCTCTTCCCCATCCTTCGTCCAGCGCACTTCGGCCCACGGGCGACACAGCTCGCAGGTCAGCACCACACGCTCTAGGCGCACGGCTGCCACGTACACTTTGCCACTGGGGTACACGATCCACGAGGAGACGTCTGGAGGACAGGGACAGCATGGCTGGGCATCAGGGCACTCGGGCCCGTGCCCTCCTGCCCTCCCTGATCCCGGCCTTTCCTTTGTTCCCGGAAAGTGGACCCTCGGCCACTCAGAGAGTCACGCACAGCTGGAGACACAACCAGTCACCAGAGTCCATCGGGAACGGCCCCGGCAGTAGCCACAGTGGCTGCAGAAACCCAATATATGCCCTGGGTCGGACCATGGATGGTGAGAAGAGTGGGCTGGGGAGGGGAGCTTGGGTGGTCTCCTCCCACTCCTCGCGCCTGTACTCAACTGCCCTGACCCCACCCAGCAGAACTGATGTTCCAGTAGGTTCCCCGTGGCAGGGGTCCTCAGGAGTACGGAGAAAGCAGGACTTCCCTGGGACTCATGCAGCCCTGGCCAGTGGGTTAACCACAGTGCACGGCCTGTAGTGATTGAATCTCATGACCGCCTGATGGGTCTGGGTCGGAGCAAGGGGACCATCAGGTCAGTGGGGGGGGGGGGCAAGCAGGAGGTTGGGATTAGCAGCCTGGGAGTGAGACTGTTACAGCTGCCCTGGGGGCATCAGGTCTCTCGTCCCGGGGCCGGCCTGGACGCCCACCTGTGATGGTGACGGTGAAGTAGGCGCGCTCATCTCCAGCGACGCACTGAAACTCGCCCCCGTCTGGGGGCTGGGCAGCAGGGAGCACCAGGCGGTGATGGGGCCCTTCGTTCTCCAGCACCACAAAGTCACTCTCTTCCACCTCCTGCCCGTCCTTGAACCAGTGCACAGGGGCGTCCTCTCGGTCCACCTCGCAGGTCAGCATGACGCACTCAGAGGTTATGGCGTGCACGAACACGTGCTCCTGGGGGTCCAGGATGTGCACCGGGGGGTCTGGTGGGGGGCAGAGGTGGGTTACCCCACACTTGGGAAGCAAGCATCATGCTGCTGGGCCAGAAGACAGCACCCTCCCGGGAGGACATGAGAGGGTCAAGGCCATGCTGAGCAGGGAACTCTGGGGCCACAGCGTGGGATGCGGAGGCTGGGTGAGGCGACAGGTAACGCGGCACCTGCATGCAGTGTGGGCTCCCAAAAGACCAGACGTGGGAGCAGGGACATGGGCTGGAGGCACAGGAGACTTATCTGGCTGGACAGGCCCGCGACAGGCCGTATCAGGGCCACGCTTGCTGTCGCTTTTAAACAAAACGACTAGCTGTGTCCCAAAGGGTCCTGTTCCCTACAGGTAGTGAGCTCCTGCCACTGGGACATTCAGGCAGGGGCTAGAAGACCTCTGGGTCACAGAGCTGGAATAGGATTCTACTTCAAGTGGGACAAGCAGATCAGTGGCTCCCAAGCTGTCTTCCAAGGGTGGAACCCAGCTCTGCCCTGAGTATCTTGGCTTTGGGGGTATGGAGTGGACCACCTGGGCAAGGGTGTTTATGCCAGGTTCCCAGGGTGGTTTTGAGACGTTCAGACCATGGACTGGCTTGAGAGCTGTTAGACCTCTGTACTTAATGCTCCCCTTGGACCCTGTCCACCCAGGGCAGGACACTCATGGTGTGAACCCAGCCAGGGTTTGCTGGCTGTGACAATAAACAAGTCACGTAACCTCTCTGAGCCTAGTTTCTTCATCCTTCACTGGAGATAGTGTTGCTCATCTATTCGTGAAGCTTATACACTGCATTATCCAGCTCAGTACCTGGTTCACGGTAGGCACCTGTAAATGTTAGCTCCTTCCTCTCCTGCCCTTGATGGAATTCAGCTCCCCCACCATCACCCCAGCAGAGGGTTTTGGGGGCAAAAGTGTGCTGGAGGTGTAGGTGCATGGGGTATTCAGAAGCAAGTGCAAAGTGACCTGAAAATGTGTCCTCTGGCCCAGCAGCCCCGCCCTGGAAGGGACCCCTCAAGCAGGCAGCCCAAGGGGCAGGGGTCATGTGGCCCTAAGTCAGCCTCAGCTGGAGGAGCAGCAGTTCCTGACCTCGGATGGTGACACTGAAGAAGGCTGAGACCCCTTCTGTTCTGCACTCAAACTCGCCGCTGTCCCGGACCTCGGCCTCCGGCAGGATCAAGCGATGTTTGCGGCCATCTGCCTTCACCACCAGTGACCCACTCTCTTCCACCTTCTGCCCATCCTTGTACCAGCTTGCCGGGAAGTCCACCCGGGAGAGCTCACAGGTCAGCACCACCCGCTCTGCGGTTGTGAACGTCAGCGACACCTTTTCCTGCGGGCTCAGAATGTGCACTGGGCTCTCTGCAGGGAGAAGCATGGTGACAGGCAGCGCCACGGTGCGCTCCAGCTGATACCAGCTGCTGCCAACGCATTTGTCGGAGTTTTAGAGGAGAGTTTTAGGCTTACCCACCAACTCTTAAAAGAACAGTGGTTTGGGTGAGTGGAGGAATTCCAAAGAAGCCCGCTAACAGTGCGGCTGCTTAAACCATGCCCCCCACCAAGAGTACAAGGGCCAAGGAATCTGCATTAGACACTAGGCGTCCAGGTGACGCTGATGTCAGTGGCTGAGGCTCCATTCTGGAAGTGCTGCTCTGGCAGCTGGTTTATCTACTCTGCTCTCTTCGTGGAGTACAGCGGCCAGCCCCTTCAAGACCCGGGGCTTGGGTACTGAGGAATCCATTGGCTGGCCTCCCAAACCCCAATGATGGTGACAGGGCAAATGCCCTGTCCTTCTCTTCAGGGGTGCCTCAAGTGGCACAGGGTGGCTCTGGGGCTAGATTGCCCAGGTTCCTACCCAGTACAACTAACTACTCATTAGCTTTGTAACTTTGGTCAAGTCACTTTACTACTCTGTGCCTGTTTCCTCATATGTACAATGGGATGACAAGAGAATCTGCTTACTGGTCTGTTGAAAGGTTTGTGTCAATATACGAAAGACGATTAGGCTTAAGAAACTGCTCCAACACATAAACTATAGGGCAGGAAGCAGTCAAGGACTAGGGGTCGGAGTCCATGTCTCTGAGATGACAAATGGGACAGTTTAAGCCACAAATTTCCCTGAAGAATTTGGATAGGATGCTGTGGGTAATAACCAGGGCCCCTGAATGTTGCAACTAAGCTGAGCCTGGTCTCTAGAACACTGAGTCCTGTACCTGAGCCTACTACACATGCACCTTACTCTCCGAGCCTAGATGTGAGGATCAGCAAGAACATCTGTCCCATTTTGTCCACAGGACACCTGTGTCATGACCCTACCCACCCATTCTGGTTCCCACCAGCACCAACCTTGGATGGTGAGGGCAGCTGAGTCCTGAACACCTGGGCAGCTGAAGCCAACTAGGGCCCCACTGTCCTGGTGTTTGACAGCCTGCAGGATAAGTCTGTGCTGCAGGCCCTTCTGCTCCATGCGGTATCGCAGGGCCCCAGGCTCTACTTGGCCCTCCGGCTCATTGCTCTTGAGCTCTTCACCATTAAGGAACCAGGTGCCCTGAATGATGGTGGAGAGATCGAGGGAGAAGACAGCATCTTCCCCATCGTACACCTGCACATCTTCTAGACCTGCTACCAGACGAGCTGTAGGTACTGAAAAGGGAGCAGAACACAGCCATCAGAACCAGAGGGGTGGCAGGTGGAAGACAGAGGATGTGGGAAAGGGTGGAGCAGTGATCGGCAGAGCCCCACTGGGGTACAGACGCCGATGAGGTAGGTCTCGCAGGACCAACTCACCAAGGTGAGCAGACCCGTGGAACACAACGTGTGGACTGCGGCCGTGTTCGCTGACCGTGCAGATGCGGAAGCGATAGTCACCCTCGGAGGGCACGCAGTCTCCGGGCACCTCCACAGCCCCAGCTTTCTCAATGCTGAAGCACTGGATCCAGTCATCCGAGCCCACCTCCTGCCGCTCCAGCCGGTAGATGAAGGCGGTCTCGGGAGCTGGTTCAGGGGGCTTCCAGGTCAGCAGGACCGTGTTCTTGTGGCCCTTGAACATCTCTGCCAACACGGGGGGCCCCGGGGGGTTGTGCTTGACACCTGAGACAGAGGCAAGGTTTGCATCCAAGCCCTGCTCCGGTGTTCCACAGCCCTCCCACCTTAAGTCCACTTTGCCCACCCAGACTCTGGCGTCTAGCACCCGCTTGCCCTGGCTCTCCTGTCCAGCCCTGAGGAGCCTGCACAGGGGCTCTCGTGCCCTCACATTTGACTCTGAGCAGAGTGGTGGTACGGGAGTTGCCCAGGCTAAAGGTGACCTCGCCAGCTTCTTCTCGGGTGACTCCTGGAAGGACCAGGGCATGCATGTGGCCAGAGCTGCTCTGGCAGGTGGCCGGCAGGTCCTCCCCATCGCGGCTCCAGCGCCCCTCGACCCCAGCCTCTCGCGTTTCCACCAGCAGCACCGCGTTCTCTCCCTCCAGGACGTCGAGCTTCCGGGGCAGCCGCTTCAGGATGGGTCCTGGGAGGCAGATGGGAACCCATCAGGCCGGGTCTGGACACCTACCGTCCTGAGCCTCGGTCTCCTCCCCTGGCCAGCCAACCTTTGACTGTGACGTTGGCCACGGTGCGCACCCGGCCCCGCATCTCGCACAGGTACACGCCGTCGTCATCTGCCTTCAGTCTGTGGATGATGAGGCGCCGGACGGTGCCCTCCTCGATCTGCTCGTATTTGCGGCAAGGCAACAGCCGCTGGTCCTCGCGAAACCAGGCGGTAGGGATGCGGGAGTTGGGGACCTTACACTCCAGCACCACAATCCCATGCTCTCGGCCCTCCACGTCCTGCAGTGGCCTCGTGAAGCGGAGGCGGGGCTCTGCGTGGAGGAGAGAGACCAGAGGAGGCGCTGGACAGGGCCGGGCCAGGGGGAGGGTCCTCCTGACACTGTCCACTGCCTAAACCCACATGTGCTCATGCCAGAGGCCCTTCCCCCACAGCCAGCGGGCTCTGGAATTACAGAAAAGCCACCAGAAGGGCAGTCGGAGGGCCTACATTCCCCTTTTCCTGACACTCCCTAGCCACAGCACCTCGAGGAGGGCCAAGGTGGCTCTGCCTCTCGGTGATCCCGGGCCTCAGTTCCCTTTCTTGTAAAGTGGTGAGGGGGATGATGGGGCTGAACATCAGTGATGTTCCATCTGGCTGCTGGGGCCCCTGGAGACACATTCTACAAGGGTCGGTTGAATTTCACTTTGAAAGTAGTGAAAGCATTTCAAACTGCAATTCAGAGGAAAGAAAGCATGATGATGGCAGGGCAGTGGGGTCAGCTGGGCTGCTGGAGAAGCCCAGGGGAGTGTGGCTCTGGGCAGCTGCCGAGTGAGCTCCCCCCTCCTGCCGGAGCTCATCTGGCCTGGCCAGTCTGTGCACGTCCACTCGTGCCCACCTGGCTACCACTACAACACAAGAGCCAGATGCTTGACCCCCAAGCCAACACTTCTCCCTAGGACGGAAACAGGTGGGCAATACCTAGTGAAGTATATAACCGGGGTGTTGAGATGAACTGTTACTATGGAGAGCCTTAACTTCCAGTGTGAGTTTAGGGTGGTCTTGTTGCCCCCTAGATTTTGTGTTTATGGGCAATATAAACTTTTATTAAATATTGCTGGTGACTCAACTTTGAAACATCAATTTCCTCTCCCAACTTTCCCTTTCTTGCAAACCTGGAGCAGTTGAATGGAAGACTAGTCAACACTTGCCCGGGGGTTTCCAGCCTCAAGTTTACCTTTGGTGTGAACCTGGAATGTCTTAACACGTGGTGGGCAGTGGGGCCTTCCCCACTGATCTCAGGCTGGGAGATGGAGGCGCCTCCACTTCAAAAAAGCCTTTTCAGTCAAATGCACCCCCCCCCCCTTGTACTTACTGATTAGCTTGATGAATGTACACAACAAATCTGGGCTTAGAAACTCACATCCATAAACTCACCTCACATACTGGGGCTCCAAATGGGGCTACTTCCATTGGGGGAGGGGGATTAAATAAACAAGTGAAAACTATTGGACTGGAAGAGTTCGGGGCCTCTGCATGGCAACCACTTCTCAAAGCTGTTTACCAGTCGGGGTTTCTCTGCCACCTGCCTGTGAATCACTTTGGAGTTTGCTAAGAAGTTCCCAGGTACCCTGGCACCCTCCTAAATCTCGGTCCCTGGGGGTGGGAGGTGGGCAGCAAATGGTATTTTAATTCTGCCTCTCCTCCATCCCCACCAGGTCCAGGTCTTCTCTGGGCACCGAGAAGAACTGGAGTCAGAAGGGCCCCAGAGGGCGCTAGGTTCCCTTCCACAGAGCCCCAGCCGCTGCCTGCCGGGCGTCGTGGTACCTTTGACGTGCAACTGGACGGCACTGAGCGTCTGGCCCGCGGAATTGCGCGCGGCGCACACGTAGAGCCCGCGGTCCTTAGCCTGGCAGTAGAGCACCTTGAGCACGAAGCCGCCGTCGCGGTCGCGGTACATGAGCCGGCGGCGGTCGGGGAGCAGCGGGCGGCCCTCCCAGTGCCATTCGATTTCGGGTTCCGGCTTGCCCATCACGTAGCAGCGGAACTTGGCGTGCTTGCCCTCGTTCACCCAGAAGGTCTTGGGCGCGCACTTGCTGGGCTCCACCACCGGCGGGGGGGCCTCGTCGGGGTCCTC